CTGGGTATGACGATAAACTTCATCCGCATCCTGGGTATGACGATATACTACACCCGTGTCCTGGGTATGACGATAAACTACACCCGTGCCCTGGTTGTGACGATAAACTACATCGGTGTACTGAGTATGACCATAAACTACATCCGTGTCCTGTGTATGCCGATAAACTACATCCGTGTCCTGGGTATGACGATAATCTACACCCGTGTCTTGGGTTTGACGATAAATTACATCGGCGTCCTGGGTATAACGATAAACTACATCCGTGTCCTGGGTATGACGATAATCTACACCCGTGTCTTGGGTTTGACGATAAATTACATCGGCATCCTGGGTATAACGATAGACTACATCCGTGTCCTGGGTTTGACGATAAACTACATCAGCGTCTTGGATATGACGATAAACTACGTCTAACAGCAAGGGCTCTGATCAGGAGGTTTTGCGGAGCGTGGAACCAACTCTTGATTTGTTTGTGTTCCCAGGTCAACCCTGACCCGGGGTGGTAGTACCTGTTAGGATCGCAGCTATGGGCAAATAGTTAACCCCAAACTGGGGGCAAAACACTATGTAAGTTTAAAAATAGAATTTAATACCAGTAATACTTTTTTAAAAAAAATATTGCCAGCAATACATTTTTGAAGAAAAATATATTACCAAAAATAGATTTATGAAGGAAAAAATATTACCAGTAACAAAAATTTTTGTTGGCCTTAAATAACCCATTGAGGTTGATATACTGTAAAACAAAACAAACCAAACAAATGAAATGAGATATCAACCATTTTCAGTAACCTGATCTTCTGAATGACGCTTAATCCTTGTATTGAGTGAATATTAATAAAATCAAAAGTGGTTTTCTTGTTGTTTTATTTATTATTTTGAAACCAGAGTTGTTATTTTTGGTTACTAAATGCCAAAGCGGAAAAAGACCATTCTACGTTGCTATGGTATTGTTCGGAAAATAATGTCCGATTTTAGAACAAAGCGCATTAAACACAGTGGATATTAGATCCTGCACAACAATTTTTTGTCCAGGTGTTTTTTTCACATTTCACTTTTCTTGGCAGAGCTTCTACTATCAAAAGATGGGATAATTTAACAATGAGTAAAAGTGATCGAAGGATAAACAAAAACAGAAAGAAACTGAATGAAATCGTCTAGACTATATGTCCAAACACACACACACATATATATATATATATATATATATATATAATTTTTTAGAAATTCTCAGCGTCCCATTCCCTTCGTGCGCATGCGTGGTAGTCGCATCAACGTAAACATAAACTTATTTCGAAGAAGTCCTAAAAGATGAAACGTGTCGCACGAAAACTTTTTCCACATTGTCATAGTTTTCCCTCCAATATTTTGCTTGATATTTAAAAAAATATATATTGTTTTCACACACACATACACACACACGCGCATACATGGACAATATATATATATACATATACATATAAATATAATAAAAATATTATATATATATATATGTGTGTATACACACACACACACACACACACATATATATATATATATATATGATATAATGGAATATGCATACACCTGTGTTCCCCCTCACTGGAATATGATTGGCTGGCGTCCCTCATAAATACCAACGGACGTGTAGATACGACAGTGAGTAAAGAACTTTAGTCTGAGAGCTAAGTCTACAACGACGCCCATTGGACTACAATTCTTACCTGCGACTACGATGCGTATTAGTCGATTACTGCTACCATATTCTAATTGGTTATAGTAGCCAAAACCACTTAGCTACTTCGTTCAAATATATCCTTTCAGGACGTATCAATATATATATATATATATATATATATATATATATATATATATATATATATATATATATATATATATATATATACTTTTGATTGGGCTCTATTTAAACTTAAATGCTACGAACATTGGATTTTTATTCCATTTGTTCTTTCTCTCATTTATATATATATATATATATATATATATATATATATATATATATATATATATATATTCATACATGTTTCATTAAATAATATAGACGAGTGTTGTCTATTTATTTTATGTAAATTCTTTTCATAACGTCTGATAAGCTTAATAACATTATCATTAAACGAAGAGAGAAAATCACAATATTGATCCATATTTTTTAATCTAATCTAAGCTTTCGGCTTACATGAGCCATTATCAAAGATGTCAATTACTGTACAACATATTAAGCAATATACGGACAAGACAGTGGTGATAGTCTGTGATTGTTTACATGGATGATTTCCTAGCAACGATAAACACGTGCATATAAGACGCTAGAAGCGAAAATCGCACCGCAGCTAATGACGTCACACATGACCACGCGAGAGTGAATTCGAGAAGAATTAAGTATGGGAAGCTGTTGGCATAACCCAATGGCTTCTGTTACCAATTATAGACATTTAAGGAAATTTGTTGAGATTACATAGTTGATTTTGTTTAGGTTAGGTTTCAACTGTTTGATGTATATTGCTTCAAGGATTTTTAGTTTTTGTCTATTGTTTTCATGCTTAAGTATAATT